GGGGTGGATTTTTTCACGTTTATCGGGCGCCGATTGGTTTCGAATCGCGATCCATCTCTTGCGCAGAGCTCGCGAACGGTCGGACCTCGCGGATCGCTGTCGGACCGCAAATTACAGACTTCGTTAGAATCCCCGTTATCTGGCCGCCTCATCTCTTCTCCGGGAATTATAAAAACAATTCAGATTTATACCTTACGGCTTATCACGCGGGAGAAAGTTATCTGTACGTGCGCGCACCGACGAGCCTGGTTAGTACGTTCCGCGGACAGCGGCCGATAAATCTTCTCCGGGGAAAGGTTTTGTTTCCACGAAAGATTACAGGCGTTCGATAAAAAGTCATTGTGCCGACGAGAGAAGCCCGTTCGGAGCCATGGATTATCGTGAGAATGCGACTGAAGGATGATCGACCCTCGTTTTCAATCAAATCATTGGGATCATCAAATACCCACATATCTTTGCTGGTACAAATCGTTCAAACGTTTCTTTTCCTCTTTCCACTATCATCTTAACGTTTAATTACTCTGCTAAAATGGTTGTCTCGTTCAGAAGAGAACCTTGAATTTTTGAGACCCCAGGGTCTTTCATCCCTGCCATCATAAACAAAATATTTGTGGTTATTTTACGACGGGGATACCAAAGTACAAGCACGGATTTAAACCTCCGTAAATTACATTTAAACCTCCGCATTACATATTTAAGATTTCTAGAAAAGTGTTTAGCAGAGGTTGTCACTGAGGTTTAATCGTGCGTACCACCTGCGAGGTGTAAAGGATACGACTATCGAGCGGAGGACGCGTACGTCCGAATTAATAAACCTTTCATAACGAGGCGAACGTTACCGTATAACTAGCCCCGGTACACGGTCCCCCGACAGTCGGGCAAAAATACAACCATGTACGAAATTTACGCGTGCCATGCGGCATAAACTGACCCCCGTGTCTTCCATTCGAATCGCGACTGGCCCAGAGGGAGAAGGACAACTCCGGTCGCTTCGCCTTCCTTCGCTTCCTCGTTACCAAATGGAGATCGAACCCCGATACTCTCTTTTCTCTATGTCTGCGCGAGAATCGAGAATCGTGGTCGACCACGCTCGAGATTTATACCGGCACACACGCATTATGGCGTTGTTAATATGCAAGTCGGCGAGCCGTACGCGTGTACGCGCGAAACGAAGACGGCAAAAGGAGGAGGAACAGAGCCGCTTGCGTTAGTAATTTATTTAGCTGCTGTGCCGTAATCCGAGATATTCATCCGGGTAATGGGTAATCGTAGACGCACTCGCAACCGTGACTCGGAATCGCCGCAATTATAACCGTTGCTAACTCTAGCCATCGTTAGGTCTGACTTTCTAACAGGGTCAGAAATATGCGAGGAAAATTCTGAGAGAATCAAAAGAGAGTCATCCTGAGGACATTTTACAATCTCCCCTTTTACTTCTACCGCAACTAACGATTTAAAGAAAATAGAGTTAAGGAAAAATACATAATAGACTGACCAAGAAAGTAGGCCATCTTATGCTAAAACAATGATCTCGCTGTACGAGACAAGATTGAAAAAATTCGTGCTCTCGTTGTGTACACCTGTGGGCAAGGTTATTATATTCCACGAAAAAGGTTACTAAAATTGTGGTAAGATTTATGTCGCTAATCCGGCAAGTCATTTGGTGCAGTAAACAGCAAAGTACCCCGACGACGGAGTATCCTGGCAAGATTTAGCTCGAGATTAAAATTTTAAGTGTCGCGGAAAAACCAGTGAAACGTTTTCGCTGTTGCATGATTCACTGAGACTTCGTGCAGCCCGTTTCAACAGTTCACTATGAGCATGTAGCTTCCAGGAATTTTCTAACGCGATCGCGCGTAATTTACGTGCGGTACGACGAAATTGCCTTTACTAATAAATTCTCCCTAATTTATGTTTTAATTCCAGCCATTTCTCCGTTATTGCGTCCCGGGAAAACGAAGACGACTATAATTTCCGCGAATGTGGTATTAGGGTAGAATGTCACTCAAAGGATCCATTACTTCTAGTTAGACTCGTTAATATGTAAATTTGTGCCGCTGATATTAATTTCAAATTTTCGGTAGATCTGTCAGCTGCGATTCTTAAAGAGGACGCGTCAGAAAATGGTGTGAAGCTTGGCATCTCCCGCAGGATCGAGAGGTGGTGACGTTAACTAGGCACGGGATATTAATCGATCAACCTTTGCCGTTCTTCCTGTCGCAAGTTGCCGTGTCAGGGATCAGTCGTATTCCGTGTTCGGCGTCGATCGACGCGGAACGGCGCGGTGCGGCGTTCAATCGCCCGCGGAAAAGTCACGTTCGATCGTAGCCGGTGAAACGTGCAAAGTTCAGCCGCGATAATATATCATAGTCGGTGCAGCCTCGGTCTTGCTAGTCGAACGCGCGACGAGCTTTTACGCTTTCGCGCGATTTAAAGAGATATACCCCATTGTGAATTATGCCTTGCTTCCCTGTACGATGACGAGCATCTCGTGTCCAGTATTTACGGCCATTGTCTTCGTTACCCGCTCCGGGCTACACACAACCGCGACCGCATCTCGTGATCGTTATTGAGGCGCGTGGGTCGTCCTCTTCTTCCTTTTCCTCCTCATCTTCCTCGGTCACCGGTTCCTACGATGTTTTCAAGTTCGCGTCTATGTACGTATTACTCGGATCAATGGTTCCCACGTGTTTCGATAAGGCGACCTTTCGATGGCTTCTTTTTAACCCTCGCCTCTCTTACGGATTCTCTTCCTGAAAGTATCTTCGGTGAATGGATGATAACGACCGATTTTAAGGGGAGTATTCGAAGGCGCCACTTTTTCAGGAATTAATCGACCAACAGGCAAAGAAACCCTTGAAAACTCCCATCCTGTTCTACTTCGCCTCTTCGAAGCTCGCGAAAATTGGATAGAACTTCAATTACGCTACATCCATCACATTGAATACACGTTAGTTTCGCTTACAATAATCATCTTACTCTCGTAATTATTAGATCTACGTACATAATTACATCGGCATGATTACACGTTATTATCACGAATCTCTTCTACCCATCTCTTCTACCATTCTACGCAAAAGTAAATCAAAATTGTAAAAGGAAACTGTTTCATTTCGATTTATTACTGTTTCTCGACGTCGTACGATACCGAGGCTTTTATGCGTACCGATTCACCTTGACGGAAAAGATCTTGCACTACGCAACAATATTATACGGCTTCGCGATATCGCTTTCACGTTCTTGCTTTTAATAACGACGCTCCGACGAGCGAAAGAACTTTTCGTAAAATGGGAAAGAGATAGCCAGCGAGTTCAATAGCTCCGGTAAATGCGACATTCGACAATGTTCTCATTCAACTGGTCGACGACGCTTGTTCTTTTGGTTGGCCATGTCGATTCAGTTGACGCGCCGTTTTCAACGCGATAATCGTTGCCCGCCGAAATGCGCAGCCGTCTGTCACTGTTCGTAAAATGAACACGGTCTTTGAAACGCGATGAATCGCTACCTTGAAAACTACGTCGCGGTCGTCGCAAAAACACCAGTCATTTAATCAAAACCTGCAACTCCTGAATGCGCGACGTCTCTCTCGAACAAGTGAGTCTGATGTACAACGCCCACGAACTGAATTAAACCGTACAGCGAATTCTTGTCGTTAACAGTCAGCCAGAGAAACAAAGACAACTTTGACCCGAATTATTCTATGTTACAATTTAACGCTCGTTGTGTCGTAGATTAAAGTGGACCTCTGTTCATTCGTCGAAAAATAATCTAGTATTTACTCGCAAGTTGACAAGGGAAATATTGAGCTACAAACAGCAGAATTTGCATGTCCCTGTAAAAAAACCTGAACACGCATTTATTGTTTTCGTCGCAACGAACAGTTATTAGCAAACCACCGAGTGTAACCCAATTCCATGACGTGACTCGTTTCCTCGGTCATTTTATACTCGTAACGCCGGGATTTGCTCTTCCTGATTGGTATGACTAACGGTAAATTAACAACGAACAAACAACACCGACTTCGAAACAAATTCGTACCCTCGAAGATCATATGCGAAACTTTGCAACCAGAACTTACGCACTCACCCTGCCCGGCGAACAATACGAATTCGCTTACCACCCAGAAGCAATTTTACGAGCGCGTAAAAAACATTTTACGATACTTTAATCGTTTTTCTTCTCCGCTTTCTTAGTACCTCTTTTCCGACAGCTTTTTCACTCCGTCGGATCTGAACTTCCTACCGCCGTTATGGTGAAACAAGTATGGACGAAAACAACGTTACTTTATCTTTGGACGGTGGTTCATTAAGGACTCTAGTTTGAATCTGTACAGTATGTTTAATAAAAGGGTGACTTTAATAAAATTGCGACTTTAATAAAATTGTGAGTTGTATTATTGTGTTAGTAAGTCGAGTGCAATTTTTCGGATATGGTATGAATTATAGTCGTTGAACTATGAACCGTACCTTTAGGTTTTGTTGGACCGTATTTTCTTCTCTCAATGGTGACAATATGTCGGCGAGCGGTTTGCGTCAGCGGCCCTCATATTTCCGATTATTTATATCCGGAGACCCGTAATTTGTCGGCGCTACGAAACTTCCCACATGCTGCGCAACGTTCGCGTTCAATGAACATATAGATCATTCTCGATTGCAACTCATTAACAGTTTCTCGTTCTGGCGTATACGAGATTTCGATGAACACGTGGAACGTATTGGAAACGAAATTTATGTTAAATATTAACGATCCACCTGTTTTGTGCTCGATGATGGCTCGAGCTCGTTGGGTTTTTTAAAGGTCGATGACATATTTTTTGGCAGTTTTCTTTATTATTATGTCTACGTATATGTTACAGTATTTAATATTTCTAAAGTAAAGTTAATTTCTTATGATAAAACTATGTTAGCAGGTATGTCATACGTTAGTAGTAGTTAGTGAATATCAGTAGCTAACAGCAACAATATTGCTCTCTCGATATGCTAGTGTTATTTTATTAGTCGTAATATTAGTTTGCACTCGAAAAATTAGTTAAAGTTATCTCACCACCTTTTTCCTATCAACTAGTCTGTTCCATCGATGATTAGTTTATGCTTTATGTTATTTATGATTTCCTCCTATTATTCTCCCTTCTTCTCACTTGAACTTTGTGACTCAGATTTTTCAGCCTTTGTTTCATTGTGAACTTCGACTAATAAATTACTTTCATGTACCTCCCTTTGGATTATTTCTTCAACCTTCTTCAATACTTTAGATTCCTCCAGTTTTTTACCGCTCTTCTTCACCTCACGTAATTCTTCTTTAACCACTTTTAATATTCTTTGGCTGCACTTTTGTAATTCAGTCAAGCTTAATTCCTCCTCTATTTTTCCGGAAGATTTGGCTTTTTCCACTTCCGCTTTCAGCTTTTCTTTTGTGACCTCTGTTATCTTCTCCCAAAGACCAGCATCAACGACTTCATCCTGGCTTGCGCTACCTTTAACTATCTGTAATATGCTTTCGCTCTTCGCTTCTTTCTTGATCACTTCTTCGGTTAATCGACGTATCTCGGATTGCTCCAATTTTGACCCACTTTTCTGTTTTTCATGGATTTCTTCTTCGACCTTCTTTAATATCACTTCCTTACACTGCGTCAGTTGTTCTGAGCTCAATTTTTCTTCTCCTTCTTTTAGAACACCACTTTCCTTCAACACCTGAGTCAATTTTTCTTCGGTTACCTTACTGATTTCTTCCTTAGTAGCAACACTGATCGTTTCACTACTGCTACTGCTGCTGCCTCCCTTCCCTCCGCTAACTATGCTTATTATAGTCTCGCTCTGAGCCTCTTTTTTAATTACTTCTTCAGTTAGTTGTTTTATTTCAGATATCTCTAACTTTTTACCACTTTTTTGTTTCTCGCGAATTTCTTCTTCGACTTTCTTTGTTATCACTTCTTTACACTTCGTTAACTCCTCCGAGGTCAATGTCTCCTTTCCATCTTTCAAAACACCACTTTCCTTCAACACCTGCGTCAATTTTTCTTCGGTTACTTTGCTGATTTCTTCCTTGGTAGCAACACTGATCGTTTCACTACTGCTGCTGCTACCCTTTTTCCCTCCGCTAACTATGCTTATTATAGTTTCACTCTGTGCCTCCTTTTTGATCACTTCTTCAGTTATTTGTTTTATTTCAGATTTCTCTAACTTTTTACCACTTTTTTCTTTCTCGCGAATTTCTTCTTCAACCTTCTTTGTTATCACTTCTTTACACTTCGTTAACTCCTCCGAGGTCAATGTCTCCTTTCCATCTTTCAAAACACCACTTTCCTTCAACACCTGCGTCAATTTTTCTTCTGTTACCTTGCTGATTTCTTCCTTAGTAGCAACACTGATCGTTTCACTACTGCTGCTGCTGCTGCTGCCTCCCTTCCCTCCGCTAACTATGCTTATTATAGTTTCACTCTGTGCCTCTTTTTTAATTACTTCTTCAGTTATACGTTTTATTTCAGATTTCTCTAACTTTTTACCATTTTTTTCTTTCTCACGAATTTCTTCTTCGACCTTCTTTATTATCACTTCTTTACACTTCGTTAACTCCTCCGAGGTCAATGTCTCTTTTCCTTCTTTTAACACACCACTTTCCTTCAACACCTGCGTCAATTTTTCTTCGGTTACCTTCGAGATTTCTTCCTTGGTAGCAACACTGATCGTTTCACTACTGCTACTGCTGCTGCCTTTCTTGCCTCCAACAATTTGTATTATAGTCTCACTCTGTGCCTCTCTCTTGATCACTTCTTCAGTTATTCGTTTTATTTCAGATTTCTCCAATTTTTTACCACTTTTCTCTTTTTCGCGGACTTCTTCTTCGACCTTCTTCAAAATCACTTCTTGACACTTAGTTAACTCCTCCGAAGTCAATTTCTCCTTTCCTTCTTTTAACACACCGCTTTCTTTCAATACCTCTGTCAATTTTTCTTCAGTCACCTTTGTAACTTCCTCTCTGATATTGACTTTAGTCGTTTCGCTACTACTGGTGCTACTATTCTTCCCACCAACAATTTTTATTATAGTCTCACTCTGTGCCTCTCTTTTGATCACTTCTTCAGTTATTCGTTTTATTTCAGATTTCTCCAATTTTTTACCACTTTTCTCTTTTTCGCGGACTTCTTCTTCGACCTTCTTCAAAATCACTTCTTGACACTTAGTTAACTCCTCCGAAGTCAATTTCTCCTTTCCTTCTTTTAACACACCGCTTTCTTTCAATACCTCTGTCAATTTTTCTTCAGTCACCTTTGTAACTTCCTCTCTGATATTGACTTTAGTCGTTTCGCTACTACTGGTGCTACTATTCTTCCCACCAACAATTTTTATTATAGTCTCACTCTGTGCCTCTCTTTTGATCACTTCTTCAGTTATTCGTTTTATTTCAGATTTCTCCAATTTTTTACCACTTTTCTCTTTTTCGCGGACTTCTTCTTCGACCTTCTTCAAAATCACTTCTTGACACTTAGTTAACTCGTCCGAAGTCAATTTCTCTTTTCCTTCTTTTAACACACCGCTTTCTTTCAATACCTCTGTCAATTTTTCTTCAGTCACCTTTGTAACTTCCTCTTTGATACTGACTTTAGTCGTTTCGCTGCTACTGCTACTACCTTTCTTCCCACCAACAATTTTTATTATAGTCTCACTCTGTGCTTCTCTTTTGATCACTTCTTCAGTTATTCGTTTTATTTCAGATTTCTTCAATTTTGATCCACTTTTCTCTTTCTCGCGGACTTCTTCTTCCACCTTCTTCAAAATCACTTCTTGACACTTAGTTAACTCCTCCGAAGTCAATGTCTCCTTTCCTTCTTTTAATACACCACTTTCTTTCAATACCTCCGTCAATTTTTCTTGAGTTACCTTTGTAACTTCCTCTTTGATACTGACTTTAGTGGTTTCGCTGCTACTGCTACTACCTTTCTTCCCACCAACAATTTTTATTATAGTCTCACTCTGTGCTTCTCTTTTGATCACTTCTTCAGTTATTCGTTTTATTTCAGATTTCTTCAATTTTGATCCACTTTTCTCTTTCTCGCGGACTTCTTCTTCCACCTTCTTCAAAATCACTTCTTGACACTTAGTTAACTCCTCCGAAGTCAATGTCTCCTTTCCTTCTTTTAATACACCACTTTCTTTCAATACCTCCGTCAATTTTTCTTCAGTCACCTTTGTAACTTCCTCTTTGATACTGACACTAGTCGTTTCGCTACTGCTGCTGCTACCTTTCTTTCCTCCGCGAACTATGCTTATTATAGTCTCGCTCTGTGCCTCCTTCTTAACTACTTCTTCAATTATTCGTTTTATCTCAGATTTCTTTAATCTCGTTCCACCTTTTTGTTTTTCGCGAATTTCTTCTTCAACCTTCTTCGTTATCACCTCTTTGCACTTAGTTAACTCTTCCGAAGACAGCTTCTCTTTTTCTTCTAAAATACCGGACTGTTTCAATTCCTCGACCAATCTCTTTTCGGTTATCTTCGTAATCTCCTTCCTAACACTAACATCGATCGTTTGGCTGCTGCTGCTGCTGCTACCTTTCTTACCGCCCCTGATTTTGTTCAGCGAACTGTCATATTTCTCTAACTCTTCTTCGGATATTCGTTTACATTTTCTTAGCAACTCAGATTCGTTTAATTCTACACCGCTCTTTCTCTTTTTCAGTATTTCTTTTTCGATCTTCTTGAATATCGTTGTCTTAATCTTTTCCGCTTCCTTCCTAATCACTCCTTTTATTCCTCCTTTCGAGCCGCCTATTTTGGCCAATATTTTTGATTTTATGAGTCGCAGTATTTTTGTCTTCCGCTTAACGTCTAACGATCCACCGTGTTCTTTATTTTTTCCCCACGCAGAACCACCTGACTCTCCTGACGAACTATCCGACCCTTCTGACGCAGAATTATCTGACCCTTCCTTTGAAGGTCGACCTGACTCTTTCGACGAAGATTCTGTTTGTCCTTTGCTTAATTTCCCGATGAGTCTCTTAATTTGTGTTATCGTTTGTGTGCCTCCGTCTTTTAATAATTCTTTCACGTGTGATAATATCTTCTTCTCGATCGCGTTCAGTGCTCCTTTGTCTATGAAGGATATATGATACTAATGTTTTACTTATTCAATACTGATATGATTGTATATATGAACCGCAGAGATAAAGTGTATAAACATGATTAAACAATGCAAAGTGATACAATTTTAAGAACTCTGGTTTTGGTATTCAGATATTTATTCGCTTATAGACTTATCATTCATTATAATTAAATAATTACAAATTAAATAACTTGATTAAATAATGCCCTTAAATATACTAAGATTTCCCCTGTCCAAGTTACAAGCAAATTATCTTTCCCGCGATATCCTTAGGTTTACCAAGAACATATCTCGCGTCTTTGGGTATAACAATGTTTGTAACAGTGATAGCAATTAGTCAATTCCAGAGAAAGCAGTCAGATTCAAAATCAGCTAATTCCTACGATTCATCAGTGCTCGAATTACCTTTTCCTAGAATACCCAGAATATTAGTAACTGTGTTCAAGTCTCCCCCTTTGGATAGGATAAGCTGAACGATCGATTGCACCAAAGCTTGTTGGCCCCCCTCCGATTCCACTACGGCATTCCAGTCACCATTGTTTGCTGCAAATGTAAAATACACGTTTTAGATCTTCTCGCATCCTCGATGTTGAAAATTGGAATAAGTTACCATTATCACCTTGTAGCATGCTATTTAGTCGAGAATTGCCTGGCTGCTTTGGCAAAGTGTCAAGTAATACTCCAACGTTGATACCTCCTAGTAGTTTGCTCAGCGCTTGCTAAATTTGACCAGAACGAATTAACGATAGATGGGTCGAATCGTGTACGGTGTTCGATAAAAGACAAATTCAAATACCAGAACGTGATGTAAGAGTCCGCTCAAACCGGAGATCAAACCAACTCCTTGCTGTCCATTTCCACCACCATTATCCCATTTCTGACTTGGCAAGGCAACCGCGCAGGCTACCAAAACCATAAGGATTACGATTGACACCTTCATCTTCGTTTGAGATTCGATTACTGACAACCATGAGCATCAGTATCTGCTTATATACTCGGGTTGGCAGTTGTGAAAACAAACCGCTGAATGGGGATGAGCAATGGCGCTAATGATGGATCTCTGGTTAATTGTTTTGCAGACCTGATAACGTTATTGAATGTAATCATCGTGTCGACAAAAATCGTTTTGTAGTGAGAGAGGCAAATTAAGGAACATTGTTCCTGATTGATCACCATGTAAGTATTTTTTTTCGATTGCCGTTTTCTACGGTAAATAAAGATACCGATTATTTGCTTACCCATCTTCGAGGGATTGGAAGTTTTTGATGGAATAAAAGTATTAGCACTCTTCGAGTAAAAGTATTAGCACTTCATAGGAAGTTTGAAGAAAACCAATCATTCGAGTCATGAGTACAAAATAAATTAAACTAGTGATAGCTACTATTTTTTAAATGTTTATTTACCACGACATTTACGATGGAGTATTAAAGAAGTTTTAAGATTATCAAAAACCATGACCCGCAGAACTATTTTTTGAAGGCAGTTGATTTTCCCTGGAGTGAATGGTTGTTGCCCAAAATGCTTAGACCTCCGCTGAAACTCATCTCGGACGCAATGTCGCCGATGTCTTAGAATATTAGCTATTTTCCTCTCGGCTGCGCGGACCTTCTCCGTTTTTCTCCTGTTCTCTTATCTTTTTGTTGTTCCCCGACCTCCTAGACGGAAATGATCAGTGAACACAAAGCAAATAGAAAGTAGACTATTTTACTCGGTAATCGAAAGTTGTTCAATAGACTGTAATATTTTTAATTGTGCAATATGATAAATAAAACATTTATATATTTATGAAGTATTTATCGAAGAATGTATATTAGGTGTGTATGCTCTGTTTAAATAAATTTGACATTTCTTAAATTTTTCTTATGATGTTCTCATCGAAAGTTGTTCAATAGACTGCAGTATTTTTAATTGTGCAATATGATCAATAAAACATTTATATATTTATGAAATATTTATTAAAGAATGTATGTTAGGTGTGTATGTTCTATTCAAATAAATTAGACATTTCTACAATTTTTCTTATGATCTTACATCATAATTCTACAATGTCCTTTCTTAATGTAACCACGAAAGGTACAAAAGTGGAGAAATCTACATGATGAGACGAATAAGGGTTAAGACGAATAGCAGAACCTCCTAGATTTCATTTCACCTCAGCGAAGAAGTTGAATCAGGGTTAACGCGTTTACCAGCGATACTACGTAGGTCTTGAAACGAAGTTTCCAACAAAAGCTCGGTTGAAAACATACGTAACCGCGTTAAACCGAGGGGGTGGTTTTTCCTTCCGGTTTACTCTTTCGTTCGCTGCGCTACAGCGATCGATCCAACCGGTAATTTAATGGTAACCCATCGAGTACAGGGTAAAAATTAGTTTCCGACAGGGTGCTTTGAACTCCTTTTACTTTACTGTAACCGACGAGAAGAAAAAGATCCGAACAGAGGAAGACAATGTGACTTCGAGATGTAACGAAGTAAGGAACAATAGCAAGTCGACATTTTTGTACTTAGCAGAGTTTTTTGTTAAAGATACCAACTGAACTATTTTTATTTCCTATTTCGTGAAAGTTGCTAATTACCCCTTTAATTTGCAACTTGTCAATCTTGCTACTTTCTCAATATTCCCTGCACGCGATATTGCTTACCTCACCACCCGTGACATCTGCGAAGTCAGAAAAGCTTTTGCTCGAAGTGATCTTGAAGTTTGACCCAGATGCGGAATTTCTGAAAAAGGAACGCTCGGTCTACATGTATTTTCGTTTGAAGTAACAAAAAGGAAAGATGAGTGGACGGGCAATCGGAGATAGAGGAATAATACAAGAAGTAGGCGTGGTATCGATCGATCGAACGTGTTCCTTGAGATTAGACGGAGATTGAGACGTACGTTGCGGTAAACAGCTGCATCTACTTTCACAATTTACAATCGATTCGCTGAAAGATTTATGCCACGTTATTAAAATTTTCGAGGGATTTCTCTTGGAACTATCTCATGCGTGCAAGTAAAAATTCCGGGTATATAAAATATCTAAATATCGGTGTTTCTTCATTTATTCGAAGCTCGAACAAAAATGGAGATGCTGCATCAGCACTATTTAATAATGTAGAGGAAAAGAATTTTGCTTAGTCGATTGAAGATAGATTTCCACATGTTTGCGTTCGACCACCGGTGGTAAATAGATAATTTATTTATAAAACGTTAGTCATCGAGCAATCTCGGGCGTCGTCGATGCAAATTGCAAACAGTGTTTCGCACACGGTGTAAACGACGGTCGGTGAACGGCAAATGTCCAGCGTAATTTCTCCGGGCACCGTGGCGTGAAGAAAATTAATTTCGTGCGAAAATACTTCTTCTGACGCAAATGAATTTCGGATGACGGATGACTGTTTTACGATCGACGAAATATGGACGGGATCGTGGCGCGTCTGCTCGTAAAAAGCTGTTACGCGGCCGAGGCTTTTCTGTACACCTGGAACAATATGCAGTTGAGTAATTAAAAACAACAGACAGATACCGTTTACCGTTTCTTTCCATTAATTACACTCCGCAGTGTAATTTGGGGATAGCGTAACGCGTCTGAAAGTGTGCGAACGATGATGGACCTTGCGAGTTCTTGATTGGATCGATTTATTAGTTTGAACGGGTTTTTACAACTGCGAGTTATTTTTATTTCTTTCGGGTTATATTTGGTCCATTAAAATCTTTGTACTACCTTTCATGATTTTGTGCAACTGCATACAAAAATGTAGCTACTTTTTTGTCTGAAAGGAAGTTTTAGAATTTTAGAAGATACTAAAGAAGATACTGAAGAAGGTACTGAAGAGGATACTGAATTTTGAAGATGTTAAATTTGAACATATTTGAAGAAGGTACTGAAGAAAATACTGCATTTTGAAGATATCTGAAGAAGATACTGAATAATATACTGAAAAAGATACTGAAAAAGATACTGCATTTTGAAGATATTAAATTTGAACATATTTGAAGAAGGTACTGAAGAAAATACTGCATTTTGAAGATATTTGAAGAAGATACTGAAGAAGACACTGCATTTTGAAGATATTGAATTTGAAGATATTTGAAGACGATACTGAAGAAGATACTGAATTTTGAAGATATTTGAAGAAGATATTAAAGAAGATACTGAATTTTGAAGACATTGAATTTGAAGATATTTGAAGAAGATTCTGAAGAAGATACTGAATTTTGAAGATATTGAATCTGAAGATATTTGAAGAAGATACTGAAGGACCTACTAAATTTTGAAGACATTGAATTTGAAGATATTTGAAAATATTAAAACTTAAAATGATGTAACACATGTCCAAATATATATTTTTAAATTCTTAAATTCTTATATGCTTAGATATTTACATTTCCTGATCTTTGTATCTTTAGATATGATATATCTAAGTCCTTAGTTCTCTGAATTTGTACATTCTTAGACCGTCATGTTCGATATAATCGTCTCGCGATTAAAGCAAACACAAAGATCATTTTTCTTTCAGTAATTTTTATTCCTGACACGCTCGTAGAAGATGCCGCATATCAAACAGGGAATCTCGCGATAAAATGTCCTTTTTGTCGTATAAAACAAGTAATATGCCGCGTTTTTAGGGCGCGACGTAAAGATTCTATCGCGACCTCTTACTTATGCGCTATCAAGATACAAAAATTTTCTCCTGCCGGGCTCGGTAATTATAATAAACTCGAGTACAGTCGGTCGTGAATTATCGAAGATCATTTTTAAGAGAAGAAATAATAATTTATTTTTAGGAATTTGAACAGCAATATTGTTTATCCGAATATCTTGTTATGAAACAAATTGGTACGCCGGAGCGGACGAAATAAAATTTATGTTCTGATTATTTGGACAATTGATTAATAGCGCAGATACTTGTTATTTGTGATGACAACTTGCACGAAAAGATAGCATTTCTCGGAAGTGTAAATTTCCGATTCTCCGAAAGTGGGTATTCATAATTCCCAAATTTTCCGACCGGTGATCGAAGCCTTTAAATACGTGAATTTCCGAGTCTGCGAATCTTGAAGTCCGAGTCTGTGAGTCTCGAAGACCACGTAAGCGAATCTGCAAATTTTTTTATTTATTAATTCCTGAGGCGGCTGAAGTCTAAATCTTCAGATATCCACATTCGCAAGTTTCTAAATTCCCAAATCGCCAAATTCCTAATTCTCCAAATTTCCAAATTTCCAACTCTCCAAGTTCCCAACTCTCCAAATTCCCATCTCTTCAAATTTCAATCTCTCCAAATTCCCATCTCTTCAAATTCCAATCTCTTCAAATTCCCAATTCTCCAAATTCTCAACTCTCCAAATTCCCAACTCTCCAAGGTTCCAAATCTCTAAGTTCCCAATTCTTCAAGGTTCCAACTCTCCAAGGTTCCAACTCTCCAGGGTTCCAACTCTCCAAGGTTCCAACTCTCCAAGGTTCCAAATCTCCAGGGTTCCAACTCTCCAAGATTCCAAATCTCCAGGGTTCCAACTCTCCATGGTTCCAACTCTCCAAGGTTCCAAATTTGCAAAGTTCCAAATTTCCAGGGTTCGAAATCTCTAAGGTTCCAACTCTCCAAATTCCCAAATCTCCAAATTCCCAACTCTTCAAATTCCCATCACTCCAAATTCCCATCTCTCCAAATTCCCATCTCTCCAAATTCCCATCTCTCCAAATTCCCAACTCTCCAAATCTCCAAATCCCCAACTCCCCAACTCCCCAAATCCCTAAATTCCTCAACCTCCAAATCCCCAAACTCCCCAAATCCGAAATTCCCAACCACTCAAACGCACAAACAGACATCCCAGGCAATAAACGCATCAGATCAGAAATAATTGCGAGTGTTAACACGATATTAAAATCCATTACCAGGAGGTATTTGTTGAGTTGTTATTAACCGGGTAGAATGATCAATATTTATGAAAGTATGGAT